AAAGGAATAAATGCTTCTTCTGTCCCTTGTTTGGAAACAAGAGAACTGAACAATAAAGTGGAGTGTTTTCCTCTTCTTTTTTCTTCGAATTGGACAGAATGTGAAGTCCTTTAACAGCAACTAATTCTCTTCGAATTGCACTTAATTAAATTGCAAGTTCTTTTTGTTTGGTTATATATTTTTGTTTATGTTAATTAAATTGCATGATGATGAAGAAACAAAAGATGTGTATTGGAGCAATTGAAGTGGCGCTGGAGTCATAAACATAGTAGTCAATAAAATCTTTTGGGTTCAAATTTGGATTTACTCACCAAATTTCCTTCTAACCAAACAAAAAAAGCTTGAGAATACATTTTCTTCATCAATTTCCATCTTAACCAAACATAACTAGAATTTTGAGTTTCTTTCCTTTTCTTTTCTTTTCCTTCTCATTTTCCTTTCTTCCTAAATTCCTTGAACCAAACATAGTGTATGGGAAGTTTAACTCTCATCAGAAGTTAATTGGTCATTTGGTCTATCTCCATCCCCTTTTCATTTATGGTGAGATATAATCTTGTGCAAGATTGATAACTTTGCCTCGAAATAATGCCAGGAGAATTCCATTTTTTGACATGGGCGAATGAGCCATGCCGGGCTTTCGCTTTCCAGCCATCTTCTGAAGGCAAAGATTGCAGTGTCTAGAAACCAGGTGCACATTCTGATATATTTTTGCCCACGGATGTAAAGCGGCTTCTCCCACCTTATAACTGCTGTGCTGAACATATATCAGCAAAAAAAAGAAGAAGAAAAAGAAAAGAAAATGAATTTCAAAATGGGGTAACTATACTTGGGTTTTGCAACTTTCTTTTGCATTGCTTATTGACTAATGTCATATAGAAATGGAAGAAATTGTTGATCTAAATGTCATTAAACATATGGCAAATCATGTTGTACATGCAACTGTTCTTTTTGGTTACTACTTTTGGTTGCTCATTTCTCTTAACAAAGTGCTCTTGCCCCCCCCCCAAATGTTATTTTTTGTTCTGCTTGTTTCACTTTTAAAATACGCACATTTGAATGACGGTCGCTCATTTTCGTTTCATGAATGCTCACTTGCGTATGTTGAATCTACAATAATCGTGTAACACCCGGATTTTTATTACACGCGCATCGTTGTATTGTCATTGGCACTAGGGAATTTCCAAAAGGAGTTAGATATGGTTGTGTTTGAAGAGGAGGCTTTTTTTTCTTCAATTTTTTTGTAGTACTAACTCTATTAGTGAGTATCATGTAGTATCTAGAAGTACATATTTTCAACCTGTTGAAGCGCAGAGTCAATGTTTTCGTTGAGATTTGAACCTGAGTCTGCGTGTCATTTAAAATGCGGTCCTTTTACTACCCCCAAACAAAATGAGAAGTTCTTATTTTTTAGTATAATTTACTCTCTCCGTCTCAGAGTATTTGTCTAGTTTTGACTTTTTCCAGCCAACTGTTTTCAATTTTTGACTTATAATTAAATAAAATATATTGTGTATTAATTAGATAAAATGATATTTTGAAAATATCTTATATAATAAATCTAATAAAATTATTTTTGTATTAATATCTAATAATAGTCGAATATCATTTTTATTTAATTAGGAATCAAAATTTACTAATTTTAATCGAAATGAGTCAAAAATGAATAAATACTCGATACTCAGGAGGGGAGTAATAAGTTGAGTCTAGTTCATCATGCGCTAATGAGTAATGACATTTATGTCCCAAGAAATTTTATATTTTTACAACACTATTACGTGCTGCTCCCTGAACAAGTCGGCTGAACAGTGAAGGGAATGGGGGCCAGTCAACTTGTTTTAATTGAAAGTGTAATACCCCGAGTACATTTTTTGTGGTTAATTAAAAAATACCCCCAGCCCCAAAAATACTACTCCCTCTGCCCAGGAATGTTCTTCATGTGTTGATTTGACACGTTTTTTTAAGTAGTAAAAAAAGTACCAAATTTTCAAAAATGCATATACTATAAACTTTTGAATCTATTTTTCTTGTTAAAAAAGCAATAAAAATGTAGATTAGTGATAGAAGAAAATTTAGTGGAAATAACATTTCCGGTCGGAGGGAATATAGTTTAAGAGTAAAAAAGTTCTTATTTAAATATAACATAAAGGTAATTTTTTGAAATATAATAGTTAAATTAGGTATGATATATTTTTGTACTTATTTGAATACTTGTATGAAAATGAATTTATTCCTTTTTTATAATTATAACAAGTCTAAAAAAATTGTGGGCATTACCCCCGAATCCCGCCATATTCCTTAATATAACTTTTCCCCCGACTACATTTTTTCTTGGAATAAACCCAGGGGCACACCAGGCAAATACAGACACTAAGTGTCTGTGTTTGTCTGGTGGCATAATTTTCTCTTCTTAATTTTATATTTTTTCCTTAAGAAGATAATTTTATTTTGAATTTCGGTTCACGTTTTATTAGGTATGAGTTGTACTTTACTTGAGTTTTAATTTTTTGTGGATAAATATATATGAATAAACAATAATGAGCATTTGGAATATTATTTTGTTGTAAATAAGGAACTAGTGTTTAAATTTTATGATAAAAACTTAATTTATCATTTCAGTAGAAACAGCTTCACAAGAAAAAGAGGCAAAATGACGTGTTATTCTATAGGATCAAACATAGAATCCGCTTCCTTAATTAAAGAATAACCATTTATTGGATTTTAGCAATTCATATTTTTGGATTATTGGGTTTCTTTACTTAAATGTGTACTCTTACTTTTCAAAAACATATAAGGCTCCGTTTGGTACATGGAATTCAAACTATGGAATTGGAATTGAGGACTTCAATTCCAATTCTATTGTTTGGTAGCACAAAAATTATGTAGTTTTGGAATTGATAGTGCAAAAAATGAATTGAAATTGACAGAATTCAATTTTATGGAATTATAATTCCAATTCCACCAATTCCATATACCAAACGGACCCTAAATGATTTTCATTACTCCAGGTATATTCTTAAATGTGAAGTAGATACATACAAAATTATTTAAAGCATATCAAATCTCATTTAATAAAAAATCTTCCCAAACTTATACTTCGAGATTTAAGTTGTTGGTAGGGTGTAAAATTTCATAGCACACCCAAGTATTGAGTGCAAAATTGAGGTACTAGCTAAATTACATCCTATATATGATACCATACCATATCAGTGAGCAAACTCAACATGGTACAATATTTAACTGGAAAATGCTAGAGGTACACCAATAGTGTACCCCAAACATCCCTCACCCCCTCCATCGCCACACAAAAAGGCAAGAAAATTTCAAAAAAAAGTAAAAAAATAAATAAAAATAAAAATAAATGGTGTAGAGGCAAGTGGTGTACATTTGGGGTACACCAAAGGTGTACCCCTAGCATATCCCTATTTAACTTGCACCAATACCATACTAAATATTTTAGTTTAGTATGAAATTTTACGTTGTACTGCTCTTGATCCTGAAATATCGGTTCAGTATGGTCCGGGATAGTTTAATATCAAATTTTGTATAAATCGAATGAATACAAACACATTTAATTTACACTTTAAAATGTAACAAAATACCTTTATTTTTGAAAATGAAAAGTACATTTAAATTAAAAAAATTAAAAAAGGAAATGAATAATTAAATTCAAGAAATGTTTATTCAGACTTAATTTATATTTCACAAAATAAAAAAAAATTAATGATATCAAAATAGTACGGAGTATTTCAAATGTTTGTTAATATTTTTATATTCATCTATGAAAAACACTAAAACTTGAATAAAAGTGGTATATAGTAAAACCTAAACCAAATTTTCGAAATAAATTTATTATTTAATGAAGAAAAATAACAATTGATATTCTTATAACGTATTACTATATGTGTTCGGTTCGAGATTTTCGGTGCAAGAAGTTATCTTTTACCATTCCTAAATACATTCTGTTCTTTTCGGTTCGATATTTGTCAGTTCGTTATTCTCGATTTTGGGAAATTCCGGGACGAATTCGATTGGGAAACAGACCAAAATAGGAGTAAAACATTGCAGATATAGCAAAATGAGAGTTCCATATTTTTATTCTCGTAATATGAGTTGAAATGCACTTAGGGGGTGTTTGTTTTTCTGCCAGAAGACCTTCTGGCGTCTTTTGTCTGCGCCGCGCAGACGCGCGCAGATGATGGGCTCTGCAGACTGTTTGTTTTTTGGAAGACATTTCACTCAAAAAGGTCTTCCTGGCATCTTCTTGGAGAAGACATTAACTAATGTCTTCTAACATCTTCTCCTTTTTTTCTACTTCTCTTCAACACCACAACCATCCACCACTACCACCGTCCACCATCACCATCACTGTCCATC